TGAGAAAAATTCAATCATAAATCATAAATTTGTGATTTATATTTGAGTCCACCTCGGCAATCCCTGCTGGATAGCTAGGCCTAGATTTAAAATTACAAAAATTTGATGGATTTTAATGAATAGCTAAGAATTGTTATCTTAACGGCTTAAAGGAAAAGAGTTTGTTTTTCAGCAATTCTGTACTTCCTAGTGGAAAATTTTAAGTTGATATATAACAATTTTTTAAGCACGTTTATTTTTAAAATTGCATAACAAATTTTTTGCAAGTTTTATTTTTTAAATTTATAACGTTGCGCGCCTCCAACTTGCACGCAACCAAGAGGTGACTGTGAAAACTTGTATAAAAGATAGAGCCTTGTGAAGGGGTTAAGTCCCTTTTTATTCAAAACGTAATAAAATTACAATTGCGTGCTCTTGACGCTCACAGACTGTGCCAACTTGGCAGTCAAATAAAAATAATAATAACCTGAAAAGAAAAGTAAAGACAAGATTCTAACTACGAGGCTCTCTAAAATAACTAACTCACCCGCGTTTTACAATACCGCTGCTAATTCAGCAGACTTGAAGCTCACTGGAACGATTACCACTACTTTCCCGCCAAGCACATAGGCCGCAACGCGGGGTTCTTCAATTCTCGATAACTACCTCCGCGCTCGTGCAGTAAGAATATCACACCGAACTCGTTTCCTTCTATTTAAATCAGAATACTTCCGCTGATAATTTGAATCCTTGCGCGTTCTACTCAAATTTACATATTCTGGCATTGGCAGTTCCAGGGGAAAGGAAAGTAAGGCTTGACAGGAAAGATAGTTTAAACTTAAAATAAATGTTAGTTAAAATAAATATAAACCCTACAAATTTCATAACTGAAAATTATTCTTTTCAAATTTTTCAATTGTATATTCATCATTTCAATTGTAGATTTTGCCTAGAAGAATAGATGATACGAATCAACCATTCATGACTATCTAAAACTGTAAAATATTGCTGTACATTTTAAAGTATCATAATTTTCGATGCGTCATTTTAATTGAGTTTATACACAATGTCGACACAATTTAACTAGACTGCCCGAGACCTAATAATAATAATAGTTCTTGTAACATTTAAATTCTGAAATTAGGTGTTTGTAAGCTTTTTGGAATCAGAGCATCTTATACATACAGTCCATATTCTTATACCAGAAAACTGTATATACAGAGCATATTGAAAATCCTGTGTCTATTGAATTATTTGCTCTTAATGCAATATATTACAATAGGAGCCATTTGATCCTATTGTAATGAAATATAAAAGTGCAGAAAAGCACACCAAATAAATCAAGGAGAAAATATTGCAGTGGTAATAAACACTGGAGTAATAATGATAAAAAAAATTCCCTTTTGAGAGGAAAAGTATTTTTAAAAACTTGTGCTAGAGTAACGTTAGTCAAAAAATCATATTGTTTGCGTTTCGACAGAAAAACTGTCGTCTTTAAGGAAATTTCAACAGTCAACGATCATTAAAAAAAATCTGATGTGGACACTACATGACTTCCTTATAGGAAATATTAAATTTTACACATTTTTACTGCATTTAATTTAAATTTATTTCCTTGAATTTCACTACAGATAGATTTCCCATTCAGTTAATTCAGTTCTCACTTCGCGGTAATGCAAAAATACATAAAGCCTCAAAATATCTTCATTAAAAGTTTAATAATATAGAAAAAACAATAAAACACCAAATACTGTTAAAACAATTAAAAAATAATTTTTACAATTAAATTTAACGTTTCTACTCAAAAACAAGCAATTCGGATAGTGGGCAACAAGGCAGACTTTTCGGTGCACAAAACTGAAAGTTTACTTTTGGTCGCATCCGGCAAAAAGGCACTGAAGTTAGTTCAGAAAATGACTTAATTCATTATTCTGCTGAGTTTTAAATATGGAAACTATGGCTGCTATGCTAAACAAAAATTAGGCTTTGCCGCAGTTAAACAACTTTTAAACTGTTGTTAATTCTACAATTATTGTATACAGATTAAGTAAAGGCATAAAAACCTTAACCGGAAGATAAGAATAAAATAATTCGATGATTCTAAAGCAAAAACTGCACAATTTACCATCATATAAGACTAAAAAACTGATCTCACCGAGCCGAGTAACAGAGTGGGTATATATATATATATATTCAATTTATTCTTTATTCAATTTATTCTTTTGATACAAGAATAAATTGAATTTAAATACAAATTTAATTAATTCTTTGCGCCATTTCTGCAAGGAATGAAATTTAAATTTTAACAAACATTTATATATGTAAAAAGCAAATTTAAAGTTAAAATAATTAAAAAAATGTGCAAAGATATAAAAAATTTAATTTTCGAACTAATCTACAACATCATTTAAATTCAGATATCATAAGTAAATCAAGTGCAAAACCAAACCATGAAAATAAATTCACCAATTTAGCAAATTAAAATTAATCTAAATTTTTTTTTAAAAAAATGCATAAGTGAACGACTGTTGAGCAGGCAGGAGACAGACTTATCAAGGGGAAGTTGCCTCCAAACCTAACTCTTCAATCATTCAATTCGTGTTTCGTCATTCATGCAGACAAGGGTAAAAGTCAAAACCAAAAGTAAATACATAGTGAAGAATGTCCAAAAAGAAATACCAATAAAGTGGTACCTTGAGAAATTAGCAATTAAAAATTAAAGTTCTAAAAGGAAAATACCAATAATGAAGTATTTTAAGAAATAAGCAAGGTAAAGTCTAGTATTAAATTTTTAAAAAATTAAATTTTCCAGAAAAATTAATTTAGAAACCAATACATTTTAGAAACCTTTGTCTACAGAAACCTCCCCGACACGAATATGCATATCAATCAAAAAGAAATCTTTTATATATTTGAAATTTTTTTAATTATTTTAACTTTTGCTTTTTACATATATACATGTTTGTTAAAATATATATATATATATATTTATATAAATTTGGTTCGGCCGATTTCAACCAAAAAGGGAAGTGCAGGAACTACATCTTATCAGTCCTATAGACAAATTTTGAACGTTCTCAGGTTACTTCTTTTTGAGTTATGCAAAATACATGCATACATACATACATACAGACAGACGTCACGGAAAAATCTCTTCTGAATCCATTTTAAATCAATTTTATAATCTGTTTGAGAAAAAGAGTTTTTTCTTATGTCCTTATGCCAAGCAAAAACATTGTTAAGTTGCATTCGATAGCGGTCAAAATGGATATTTTCGTTGAAATATGACACTCGGAATTTTTCGTGGTTACAATACCTTCTTTACTTCGTAGAAGTAACTGACTAGAGTAATGCTGACAACAGCGTTATTGATTATAGCTCTTAAAACAAAATTATTTCACCAATTAAAATAATATTAATCAAGAATTTCCAAGTGCTTAAAAGTGTGTTCGAATCGATTATAAAAGATTGAACACCAACGAAAACTGAAACACAGAAATACTTTTCAGAGGGAACATGTATTTTCTCACCAAGCTTATTAATTTGACAAACAGCTGAAAATAGTTTCTATTTGGATCAAACGTTTATATTAAAGGATTCAAAACTTTTGCTTCTATGAGCAGAGATTTTAATATTTATTCATACGGAATTTCTGTAATCTACGGTAATAGGCTGATTGGTTGCAAATAGCCTGTTAATATTGCCTCTGCTTTTTGAAGCTGATAATTCTAAATCTTGCAGGTAAGACAAGCGCTTTTATCAAGCTTCAGACTTCTTTTAAGAAAGAAAATATTCCTTTCTTTGTTAAAGAATTTCTCTCTGTGTTTTATCGAAATGCATCTGGAAATAAATTATGAACTTAACTATTTACACTGCATTACATAAGCTTCCTTCTGTTTCTAGAAATGAGTTACTGTGAAAATTAAATCGAATTTCTTCGTGAGAATAGTTACCTTTCTTAATCGTATTTTGTAAGGATCAGTTTTACAAATATAACAAATGGCTATTATTCTTATTACTCTTCATAATGTTTAGTTTATTTTTAGCATAAAGGGGCGTTAGCCCGGAAGACCTGTTAATCTCGAAATGGCATTTTGCGTCCGTTCAATATAAATGTCCGTTTCACTTTTCAAATTGTTGCCACCAAATATTATCGCCCTGTATTTACAGTTAAAGAAATTAAATAATGAAGAACCTGCATGAATATATATATGTTACTCGTACTGTGAAAAAACAACGGTATCCAGAGCCATTAAATTTTGAGTAACTTTGTCCTCCACCAGAATGTGGGTACCTAGAAGGCCCAAATTTTGAATATCGAATTTTTTTATTGTCTATTTCATAGTTTGTAAAACTTTAACGCATTTTTGATGAACCAGCTCAACAATTTCAAAGCGAGCAATGGCAACACTCTACGGAAAAAAAAAAAAAAAAAAAAAAAAAAAAAAAAAAAAAAAAAAAAAAAAAAAAAAAAAAAAAAAAAAAAAAAAAAAAAAAAAAAAAAAAAAAAAAATCTCCAGTGCGCGAGACTGTTTATCGGAAATTGTAAAAGATATGTTCTTTTAAGCATTTTTAACCAGAGAAACATTAGCCCAAATGCTCTCGAAACGTGTGTGTGCGTGTAAAGGAAAACAAAAAGTGTAATATAAAATTTAAAAGCTTTCAAATTTTTTAATTAATTATATTTTCTAATAGTACTTGATTACTACTGTTATGTATACTATAGTATCATAATTGTAAGCAAACTCTTATTTGTACGACATTTTTAATAAAGACTAATAAGACAGTTTTTTTTTATTTTGATTAATTATTTGTTATTATCTATAACAATATATATCTTAGATTATTTCTTTATTATTTAATTAAACTTCTTTAAACTGTATAGAATGCAGATGTAACTATAACATAATACACATAAAAAACATATTTCATTACTCAAAAGGAAGTGAAAAGTGATAAATGTAATATCTGAAAAATATTAATGCTGTATTGGTTTTTAACTATTAATCTTGTAATTACAGGATGGAATACCTGTACGGAATAAAGCAGTGCATGTTATAAATAACCCCGGCATTTTTAGCATATTATTCGACATCATGAAACCTTTTTTAAGTAAAAAATTGAGAAACAGGGTGAGTAATAAATGCATACTAAACATGCATGAATATGAATATTTACGCATGGAATCCATGCATACATTATTTTTTTCCAAAATTTTTTGTCTCAGTTTTTGTAGCCATTATTTAGAATGTCTAATCCTAAAATTATAGAACTACATCTTATTTCAGTAAATTTTATCTTATATAGTGTATATCAACTCATTAAGAAATATCTATTACAAAAGTATTTTATTTACTAACAAGTAATATTAAAAAAAAACTTTAAATTCCTACTTAGGTCAAAAAAGAAAAATTTTTAAATACCAAAAAATAATAATAATAATAATAATAATAAAATTTTTTTTTAATTTTTAATATGTGAAAAAACTGTATTAACATCAAGTGTCATCCCCTACAAGTTTAAAAAATGTGTTTGAACTTGAGTGGATGACTAAGAAGTATTTTATTATCGATTGAAAATTTGAACAAGATACAAGGCGTGACACAAAAAAACGAGACTGGTACAATAAAGTCATTGTAGTTACAGAATCAGTTCTCTGTAACATTATCACCTTCAAAATAGTCCCCTTCAGCATTCATACATTTCTGGGTTTGATGCTGTCATTGATGGTAAGAGTTCTGGAACGAGGTTTTTGGAAGGCCCTTCAGGAAATTCTCCTTTTTTGCCTGAATCTTTTCAACTGAGGTAAAATGGGTTCCCTTTAAGTAGGTTTTAACTTTAGGAAATGAAAAAACGTCGCATGGAGCCAAATCAGGTAAATACGTAGGATGCCCCATCACAGCTGTTTTTGCTGCTCAGAAACCGCTTGACAGATAGGGCCGTGTGAGCAGGTGCATTGCCGTGGTGTAACAGCCATCCATCACACCACAACTGTGGCTTTTTTCCCCCTAATTTTTTCATGGAGTATTTTTAGTACTTCAATGTAGTAGTGTTGAGTAACAGTCTGACCACTGGGAACCCGTTAAATCATGATGAACGTGCTGGGAGCCCATGGGAGTACCCAGCACGTTCATCATCTTCCACACTGTCCTTTCCCCCTGAAAACCGCTTATGCCATCCAAACACACGTGCATGAGACAAAGTTTCATCTCCATAAGCCTCCGTTAACATTTGAAATGTTTTCCTCCGTGGCTGATTTCTTAAGTTTCACAAGAAACTTGATGTTGATTCGCTGTTCGGTTTTTACATTAGACATTTTTTCAGCAGAATGCAGTTGCCCGTGTTCACTCAATAACGCAGTACTCCCCACTGGCGTGGTCGGTTAAGTCGAAATTAGTTAAAAATTAACTTAATCCTTATAAATTTGATTTCATCAATTTATTTTGAAATAGAATTTGTATTTGTATTTGTAGTAAGATCTTCATGTCCTTCAAACCGCATAGTTACGGAATGAAAATTCCATGAGGTTTGAAATGGCTAAAAACAAGCAGCTAATTGTATGGTAGACTGATGTCACATTTCAGAGATATTTAAACATACGCGTATTCACTTCGTTAAATATAGTCTTATTATGTCATTTTTTTATTATGAAACCAATTTGCTCATGTTGTCAATTCAGCAATAGTATATGTGAAATTTTTCTTTTCAGACATTCCAAAATTATTAAATATATATGTTTATAACTTGGCCATTGACAACTTAAATGCTACAGCTATAACGTATAATAAAGAAATTTGCATTAGTAATTACTTGATAATTTACACAGAGCTTCTTGTTCTTATACGTATTTGAATATACTATTGTGGATTTGAAGACAGTATTGTACAGACTTCGTGATGACACGATTATCAATTCCGCATCAAAAGTGTACTTATTCTTTAAAAGTATTTCATTATAATGATTACAGATAAAGATAACTAAACCCAAAGACAGAATCAGCTTGATCTGTACATAATCATTAAGTAGATCATAAGCCCAGTGATAAAAAAACTGATATGGCTGCCACCTAACCTACCGCAAATTGCATGTTTTAAACAGCAGCGATCTTTAAGCAAAGTATCACTTTCCGTTGATAGTTTTTAATAAAGGTCTAATTTGTTGTTCCAATAAACAGAGAGTCCTGTGATATAAAATTTTCTATTTTATTTTATAAGATATAATCAGCCATACGCACTTTATACTAACGTGACCAAATATTTGTCGCTTTATTTCTTTTATTAAAAACTGTATTTTATTGACAGCTGAATAACATAACATTTGATTGGATTTTAATTAAAGAAAATTAAGTATTTATATTTAAAATAAATATGTTGAAGCAAATTCTATAATTTAATTTTTCTTCTATATTATTACGAGATGGCTATGTTCATTTCCTCATTATAGCTTCAAGTAAAATGCTCAATAAGCGGTACTGTTATTATATCCCAATTTCCCAAACTGAATATCCAAAGTGGTTTCTTGATTATCTGAATAACTTTATTTTCCTTTATTTCATAATTTTCTTATAATATATTGATTGTATTATAAAAATCACTGAAAATAACGTGAAATGTAGACTGAAAAAAAAAAGAGGAAATAAAATACAATTAAAAAGTGTTTTTATACAATAAACTTTTATTTAAAATGAATATGATAAATAATGCGCTAAAACAGAAAAATAATTTATCATACATTTTAATAGGAATAATATATAGATTAAATAACAATATTTAAAGGATTCATCTATAATTTTACATCGCGAATAATAAAAGCATACAACGCCTAAATAATAGGATTTTTTAAATTGTACTGCAAAATGGTCTAAAGAGCAGAATCGTCCACTTATTTATTTGGCGTTTGTTTGGCGCTTTTTACAAGAGTAAGAAGAATTGGAATTTTGTCAATTTTCTTTGACTTCTTAAGTGAAAATAGGTCGATGTGTACATTGACGAAAGTCAATGGAGTGCACAATGCCATTTTTGCGCAGTTCTGAGAGGTTTTTTTTAAGTGATATACATGTTTATATACATGGATACCGAGTATGTGCAATTATTAAAAACACGCCAAGCGGTGGACGATTCTGCACTTTCCCCGTAAAATGCATAAGCCATTATCGTTTAATTTATTATGGACTCGCAAAACTTTTATTATTTGCGATATAAAATATATACCAGCGGATGTCAACCCTTAGAGCTTCATGGACCATTACATATATAATTTTATATTTGGCGGACCACTAACATGAATTAAAAAAAAAAGGAAGAAACCTTAAATCAGACCTTAAAAACAACATAGTAATACGAATATATATAATTCTAATTTTTATTTGTTAATATAAATTTCGAAGCTTTTGGTGTTCAGCAGCATTAAACAAGAACGCAGATGGTTCTCATAAAAATCCATCAAGTTGCCTATTGACGCGGAGAAAAACTGTATTGTTAACGACTACAGTAGTATATGTTTGTAATTCAAAAAGAAACAGAATTCCAGTTCGCGCTGTTATTGATAACAGCATCATATCCATGGATGCCAACTCTCACTTTCAAATGTCGCTAGATACACCTATAAAAGTAGCTAAAAAGTCGCTAAATTCAGAAGGAATTTCTCTAAAAGTAGTAGCTAAAATTTAAAACAAAAAGTATAATCCATATTCCACAATAGGTTTTGTTACTCCTCATTTTTTAAACTGAATCTTAATAAAGATATAAATAATGTCTCAGTTTTTTTGCGGACCATCAAAAAGTTTTCACCGACCGCTCATCTATAAATAATCTGTGCATGTCTCTCTGTTCCTTTACTTGTAACATCATCTCCTCCACTACGACGAGGACTTGAGTTTTGAGAGAGGTACTCCCTCCCCCCCCCCAAATTCCAAACGTTCGTGGAAAGGCATTTCGACAATTATCATCTTCGTACGATTTTATTCAGCCGAGATACTAATTAAAAACTATGAAAACGTTATATTGGCAACAATTAAATGTATTTACGAATCCGTTGTTTCCTTGAAAAGCCCGCTCATTTGGCGGACTTGCCCGCTAGTTGTAGATAAATTTTGTAAACAGAATTATTTAATATATTATTTCCATTAAACAGTACAATAAATTACTTTTTTCCTTTTCGTGAATTAATTATTATAGCCATTTTAAATCCAAGCTTAATGTATTAAAATATTTTTTAATTGTATTTTATTAAAAATTTGTAGTCAACATACTTAAATGAGTTAGGGAACAAGCGCTGAAATACGAAGACTTCTCATTAGTCTCTTGAAATGCAATTAAACATTTTATTTGAAATGAATACTAAGTGTGATGAGAAAGAAAAGTTAATTTTTGGCAACATTTGAACACATTAATATTTATTTTCTCATTCCTGGAACCTTTATCGGTTGCAGGAATTGCATTCTTTAGAAAGCGCTGCATTCTTAAGAAAAAGAATTGCAGTTAGAAAAGTTGTTAAGAAATTGTTATAAATTAAATTTAGAAAAAGAATTGCATTCTTTATCTAACAGGGAAGAAGGAATTAAGAGAATTATCACCTATTTTATAAATATCCCTATATCGAAACATTTTTTCATTCATAGGCGCTTAATTATTTATACGAGATGGGATAATTGATTGGAGAGATTCAGTTGGAGCTATGAAGTATGTTTAAAGAACTGTCACAGTTTTAAATGAATTTTCTATATATGCATCTTTAAAATCTCTAGTCATGTTTTGAAATAAACTTCAGATATCTATTTTCGAGATTATATTTTGTTGTTGTTTGTTTAACATATTGGAAAGCCACATAGAAAACATCACCTACACTTGCTTATTCATAGTAGACCTTCGAAACTTTCAGATTAAAGTATAATTATTTTTTAGCATTTTTATCTCTATTAGGCTGTTACAAATAATTCTTAAATTTTAATTCCATATTTTTGCTCTTTCCTGCTGCTTTAGTTTTCATCAATTACATGAGTATAAATAGACAATTGCTTCACAAAAACTCTAAATCTGGTTTAAAAAAATAAGTTAATTCTTTAATCATTTCCTTTCTTTTTAGATATATTTTCATGGAGACAACTTGAGTAGCTTACATCAGTTTCTTCCACCTCAAATGCTGCCTGAGGAATTTGGTGGAACACAGGGCTCGTTCGAAAATGAACAATTTTATGAATGCTTACTGGCCAATGAAGAAGAATTTCAACAATACCAGAAATTTGGATATTTTAGTTCTAAAAACTGAGAAATGTTACAGCATTTTACGTATGTGTGAAACTTGCCGTACTTGAATATGAACAAATTAAAAGTGATAGTGAATATCTGACTCTCTGACAGTATTATATCATGTTACTATATAAATTGATGACTGATGGATAAATTTTACTCAGCAAAGTGATATCTTGTGTACTTACTACCACACGGAATCAATTACTTTCATAAAATATAAGCAAAGACTTTGAGCAACTATGCTGCGGTTGGAAATAGGTAGAAAACTGATATTAGTTTGATTATAACTATAGTCATCTGTTAAATTATTTTGTGAGTGTAGTTCGAGTTGATTGCTGCAGTATGCTGAATTTTCTGCATGAAACGTTTTGGAAAGAAATTATGATGGACATTTTTTCGAAATGTAAAGAATCTGACAATAATGTTTAGAATGGATAACTAATCAAGTTACTAATTAATCTTAGTGGTTTCCAAGTGGCTTGGCATTAGATTCGTCTCCTGGATATTAAATATTTATATCTTAAAAGGTTTGTAAGAAATAAAAGTAATTGTTGTTTTTTTATTTTTAGAATATTTTCAATTTTAAAAGCTTTATTTAATATTTATGCTATCAGGTTCAATGTTCCGTCTTACTTTATTTGGGAACATGCAAGGACCTGACTCGGAACAGAGAGCTTACTAAAGCTATGTTCAATAACTGTGGGAAGTAGACAGGATACACAAGAAGGGTATACAAAACCCTTTATTTTTCTCTCTTTACAATAATTTCCGTACTTCGGAATACAAAGACCCACTACTTGGGTCTAAAAACGTATAAAATAAAAAAATATAAACTAAACTCTAACTTAACTTTGAAATAATAAACGTGGAAGATTGGCCTTATACTAACAGGAAGACGTATGTAGTACAGAGAACTGTTAACACTACAATACGTTTTAAAATTATCAAGAGGATTATTAAACCTCTGGCCTGGAAGGCAAACCAGCAACTGAGTAAAACTTCTAAGGTAAGCGGCCTGCTTCGACTAACTCCTTCCCTCTCTCTCGCTTGGCAAAAAGCCACAACTTAAATACTTGGCGTTCGCCAGACAAATTTTGCATAAATAAGTTTAACGCTTTTTTTAATTCTGGCCGGAAGTAGAAAATAAGAAGTGATAGTAAAGATTTAAAATAAAATAAACGTTAGTTAGTAAAACTTAAGATCCTTACATACTTCCCGCCAGAGTTAATTAGTTTGAAACTGAGGTCTCTAAAACGACCTTGTTGAAAACTTTTAGCTCTAGAATCTAACGCGAGGCCAATCTTTTACAAACATAACTTCACTAGAAACTAGAAATTTAAAAAAAAAGAAATTTGTTTTTACAATAGCAGCTCCCAAGGACACGCAATTTTTTTCATCTGTACTGCATCTAAACAGGAGCTTTTTATTCAAATCTGGTTCCTTCCAGAGATCTGGAAGGAAAACTAGTTTAATGAAATGTTACACAATGAAATGGCAAAGTAACATGCATATTTATATTTTCTCTTAACATTCTTATTTCATTCATGACTATTTTAATTATCTCTCCCCGTGCTCTCTGACATGTGTGTTGTAAAAGAACACCAAACACGAATGTGTTTCTGTCTACGTGTTCAACACTTCCTCCTACAATCAAAACACTAACGTGTTAAAATTCAACATAACCAAGACCTCTTAACACACCCTTCAACTCTAAACCCTGAGGTACTATTCTGAAAGTGGGCTAACTCTGAAGTGTAGCGTCAGAGAGCCTAACTACATTCATTCAACCTTTAACACATATTCACCATGATTTGGTCTTTTACAGTCACACGAATAAAAAAAAATTTTAACATTACTTTCACTTTTACCATATCACGGTATTTCTTAACATTTAAAATAACAGTTCACATTGTATAAGAACATATTCAACATGCCGTTAATTTTACACATTTGAAAACATACATTAGTAGTACATTGTTTAACTTCTATTCTTTTCAAAGCAAGTGCCAATTCTTTCTACATTGAAAATACTACATTTCAAAAAGTCTTTCAGACTAAAACTTCTTTCTTTGCCAGAATGTTTTAAATAAAATTTATACAATAACTTTTACAATATTTAAGTCTTTACACAATCGCTATTATACATCAACTTTAGTTTTACGCGCGAGTAATTGAAAAACATAATACCAAAATCGGTAACAACTCATTTCTCGCCCTTTTTGGCGATAAAGGTAGACCTCGCATGAGGTAAAACTTCTTGAAATCTGCCACTTGCAGTAAGAATGAAAGATTAACTTAAGTTTGCAAAGTAACATAAAATTTTACTTATCTTTGTGATATTCGGACACATCTTTTCTGGCCCAGTCTTGGAAAGGTAGCGTAGTAGATTCTCGTTTGATTTATCCTCCTTCTTGTGCGGGCTCGCCCTTCAGTGCCTTCCTCTAGAAGCTTCCTTTTTTCTCCAGTTCGGTCCACCCTTGAATACCTTCTTTTTCGCCTCTGCTTGTGGTCTTGGCCGTTTGTTGATGGCAGCTGGTCTTGGCGGAACCGGGAAACTTCTTTCGTGTTCCTGCTTGGACCTCGTTGTTGGCCGTTTCAAATTTTCCTTGTAACTTTTCCTCCGCCGCTGGTGGCCCTTCCGCAGTTCGGCGACATTTGCTGCGGAGAGTCCTGTCGGATGAGTAGATCTTCCGTTTTAGAGCCGGGTTATAGTTGCCGTCATTTCTCCTGGTCTCTCTTTGCATACGTCGTCCTTCTCCCTTCTTCATTCTGGGGGTGTTCGTGAAGCTCTCTTTTCTGGACGGTGGAACGGCTTCTTTTTCTTGTTACCTTCAATTTTTCCGCGGGGAAACTTTCTTTTCACTTGCTCCTGCCTCTTATTGGCTTGCCCTTGTACTTGTCGTTGTTCCACCTCTGGAGCTTGTGTGCCTGCCGGTGTCTGCCGTGCCGGATCCTGCAAAAGATCTGAAAAATTTGCATTTTATTTTATTACGATCATAGTAGGGTTTGATTTGATCAATGTTTGCGGAACAGGTTTCACCATTTCCTGGCTTTTAAACACTACTACACAGCGTGAGTTATTTTTTCTATAACATATGGTCCTTCAAATCGTGGAAAAAATTTGGCAGTTTTATCTTCTGGTGCTGAAGAAAGTGAATGCTTAATTTTTAATACTTCATCCCCTACTTTATAAGTTACTCCCCGTCGTTTCAAGTCATCATAATACACAGCTTTTGTTTTCTCTGTGCTACTTCAGTATTCTTTTTTTTGCTTCTTTTAATTAGTTTTTCTATATCACCCATTTTAAATTCTGGGGCTCTTTGTTGCACATAAAATAATTTATCTAACGGCGTTATAATCTTTCTGCCTAAAAATAACTCAGCAGGAGTTTTGCCCGTTGTATCATGTTTTGCGGTCCTAAGGGCGAAAGCAAATTCATTGACATAGTTATCCCAGCTTTTATGAAAATTTTTAACATAACTACGGATAATTTTCACTATATTTCTATTGACCCGTTCCGCTATATTTGATTGCGGCCGATACGGGACCATTTTTAAATGACGTATGCCCAGTTTTTGGCACATGTCTTCAAATATATTACTTACAAATTGAGGACCATTATCCGATATAACTTTTAGGGGCGCCCCGTATTTTAAAATATATTTATTTAAAATAGAGTCAGTAACTAATTTCGCGGAGGCTCGTTTTAAGGGAACAATTTCGGTCCATTTACTAAAATGATCAACCATAACAAGGAGATAGCGACTTTTATTTAACTGACTTTTTGGGAAAGGGCCCATAAAATCTGCCAATTATTTCATTTGGAAATTCGGATTTAATACTATTTAGAAACCCGGCCGGGCGGAAATTAATATAATTAACTGCTTGACATGTTGGGCAGGACTGGACATACGCCCTTGTTAACTTTTGCAGTTCAGGAGGAAAATAGACTGCCTCGCGTACGCGTTGGATAGTTTTTCGAATACCAGCATGAGAAGCTAAAGGGCTGTCATGGAGCTCCTGCAGGATATTTAATCTAAGACTAGCTGGGATAACAGGTCGAAATTCGTTGTTGGAATTCGTAGTTTTTGTATAAAATAATAGACCATCTATTAGTTCGTAATGGGGGCCGCCCTATTTCTTATCGCCACAATATCTTGGTGGCTAAAATTTTCAGGATCCTTTAAATACTCATAAATACTTCCAAACTCAGGATCCTTACCCAGTTCGGTTATTACAGTTTCTCGGGAATTTATTGTACATGCTGTGAGCATTGCCACCTTTACAGTATTACCTTCTTCATCTATTTTAATTCTGGATAGGGCATCTGCTACGATATTTTCCTTTCCGGGGGTATGCTTGATTACCAGATTATATTCTTGTAGCTTGAGTGCCCATCTTATTAACCTTGGGGATAAGTTTTTCCCTGAGTACAATCTAGTTACCGCCGCATGATCAGAGTACACTGTTATTGGCGCCTTTCCAAAATAGACTCGGAACTTTTGCACTGCTAACAGAACTGCAAGTGCCTCTCTCTCTCGGTCGCGGAATAGTTTTCTTTGTGTTTGATTTAAAGTTCGGCTAAAAAATGCCACGGGCTGCTGATTTTGCGAAAGTACCGCTCCTACCGCATAATCCGAAGCATCCGCTGAAATTTCTAAATTCTCATCCTTTTCAGGAAATTTCAACACAGGGGCTTGCGTTAATGCTTGTTTTAATTTTTCGAAAGCACTATTGGCTTCGGCCGTCCACGAGAATCTTGCCTTTTTCCTTTTTAATTTTAACAATGGTTCAGCAATAGCTGCAAAATCTTTTATAAAGGACCTATAATATGAACAAAGTCCTAGAAAAGAAGAGAGCTTCTTTCGCCGTGTTTGGAGTCGGATACTTTTGTACAGCGATTATTTTTGATTCGTCTGTCTCGATTCCTTTCTGAGATATTTTGTAACCTAAATATTTTAATTCAGGGGCTGCAAATTTGCACTTTTCGACATTAACTTTTAGACCGGCCTCATTTAATAAAGAAAAACACCTGTCTTAAATCCTGTACATGTTGGTCGAGATTATCACTAGTAATAATGATATCGTCTAAATAGATAAATGTGGACTTTCCAAGAACAGGTCTTAACACAATGTCCATACATCGCTGAAATGTTGCCGGTGCCCCTGAAAGGCCAAACGGCATACGCAAAAAATGCATAAGTGCCAGACTTGGTTATAAAAGCAGCAGTCTTAGGCACGTCCTCAGGCCTAACCCCTATTTGAAAATAACCAGTCGTTAAGTCTAAAGTCGTCATATATTTGGTTGGATGTTATGTTCCTTAGAATTTCTTCAATAATAGGTAACGGATATACCGGATATTTAGTTATGGAGTTTAATTTACGGTAGTCAATTGCGAATCTCCACCTTTTTGGATGTGTCAAATGGATAGTCATTATTTTTCTTACATAAAACCACCGGGCTAGCATAACTACTTGAGATGGGCGTTATGATCTTTTTACGTAGCATATCGGTATGATATGCCATTCTATAATTTTTTCCTTATTCTTATCATACCGGTA